TGGAAATGTTTAGAGCAGAATGTTTAATAAACAATAACATTTGGGATTTTATCCCATGTAAAAATGCACCCTACATTACAGATACTTTTGTGAGTGTTTAAAGTTGGGAGAATTTTAAAATGGAATTTAAAAATCCAGTAAAATCTATTACTCCTCTTGTACTTCAGATGTTGGTGATATGGATACCCTTGGAAAGCACATTATTTGGATTTTTAGCTTCTGATAGAGACTCTGATGGACTCTAGCAAAGCCACTAGATCTTGGACAAAACCTATGTTTTAATGCATTGTGATTGCAAGTAGTCAGAAAAATTTAAAGGATGGTACATTTTAGCTTGTTCCATCCCAATGTGAGCTAAAACCTGAGTGAGCTGTAAGGAATAAGCAGATTAGAAAGGAAAAGTTGCTCTAGGACAAATAGTGATATCAGGACCTCCACGTGGGTGAGAAGCAAGAAGAGGAGCTGGAGTGTACTCCTCACATTAAGCCTGTGTCTTTAAAAGGGGAGTAAAGTTCCAGGTTTATATCACAGCTTGACTCTACTGAAGCAAAGGTAAATTCTCTCTGGAGAATGCAGTGCTTTTAAAAATAAATTATGCTTTACAACACCATATGTTGGTGAGGATGTGGAATTCAGGAAATTAATTTAGACATTATCTAAAATGTTGAGTGTTTCTAATCCTTTGACTTCAGAATTCCACTTTTAGAAATATACCTGAGGAAAATCTTTGAATAGAAGATCTTGTGTAGAAGTGGGCCTCCCTGGTGGTGCAAGGGGTTAAGCACGGAACTATGAAGCAATCCCCAGCCTCTGCAGCACTAGTCGATCCCCGATCGGCTGGCCAGGGAGCAACCCAAATGGCACAGCAGACCTCTCCTGTCATGCCCACTGCTCCTCTCAGCAGTGTGTTTTGGTCCATCTGCCTGTTCTGCTCCCCACTCTGTCTCTGGTGAATCCTCTCACCCCTGGCGTTTCTGGCCTGTATCCCCGCTCTAATATGGATAAATAAATAAATCTTTAAAAAATAATAAAAAAAAATATTCATAATAGCACTGCATAACAGCAAAAAATTGGCAACAAGTAGATAACCAAAATGTTTGTTGACCTGAGAATAAATAAATTGTGACATATTTGTATAACAAATTGCCACAAATAATTGAAATTAGCAAAGCAGTGTTGTGGATAAAGTATGTGGAACTTAAAACCATAATAATTTTGAATGGAAAGAAAAATCCCTGAATATAAAATTCATTAATGGCATTAAAGGGAAGGAGGTGATTAAAATGAGAGAGTAATTCAAAGTTCTTTAGTTGATAGTGTGTTTTTGGGGTTCATTTTAGCATTAAGTTTAGTAACATTAACATTGTAGATATTTAATATTACATGATAAGAAGTAAAAGCAATTAGAAGCATTTAAAATTTTAGAAATGTAATGAAGTTCTATATATTCTAAGTCAGCTTACTATTGTGAACTATTGACTTTTATGGTCATTATTTTAGAAGCTGCTGGGACTTTTCAACTCCTGCCAGTCCCAGAGCGCCATCTGCTGGAGAATTGTTTCTAAAAGTTTAAATTCTGGTTTTAATTTTGCTCCCAATTCAAGGCACAGCTTTAAAAAAAATCTGGAAAATGAAAAACAGTGCCATTCCTCATGGTTCAGTCATTTTTTTATGTGTGGAATCCATTTTGATACATGGTTTTTGATTATATAGGTATAGGAGTTCCCAGAAAAATACATGCAAACAAATGTTTCTCCTCGAAATATGCTGCTGGGCTGTGTCAGAGCCGTTGTCCTTGTAGGGGAAGAGGGAGGAAAAGCAACACATGCTCAACCTCTGCCTGGCAAGGCCCCCTGTTTCCTTTACCGGTGTCCTTCCTTTTCATGTGCTGTAATTTGTTTTCTTTAGATTTAAATTTTGTAAAGGAAAGAAAAAGGCTTAGTGAAGCGAGTTTTGACTAATGAATAAATAGGCAAAAGATGAGGACTTGAATGAATCATTGATGTTCTAAATGAGATGGAGGTACAGGTGAGGTTCTGTTCTACTAGTAAGACAAGGCAGACAGGTTCTGTTGGGAAACAAGTGTTACTGCTCAGGTTCATCTCATTCCCACTGTTGGGGTGACAGTCTCAAACAAGTGTTCTTCTTTGACTCAGTACTACTTTGGGGATGCTAGTTACTTTTCTGTCTTCTGGAAGTCTAAAGGTGCCTATACTGTGATAAAAGTGGAATTGGAGAAACTGACATTGTTGCGGTGATCTGTCCATTAAGTGGCAAGTGGACTTTGAGGCAGAGTCTGATTACTCAGGCCAGGACCATGGGACATATTTTCTCCCACATCTTCTGTTGTTTTTTTTGGGAGTTAACCCATGGCCTGGTCCTCAAATTAAAGCTCTTGGCTTTGGTGGCCTGAGACAAAAATATTTTCAATAAGTAAGACAGGCCTGCCTTAGAGAGTCAAAAATCTGAGTTTAATGGTCTGGTTGAGACTCTGCTATAATATTTAAGCACCCAGTGCAGTTTTACCACCAGCTAGGTAGCCTGTAAGTAAAACTTGGGGTCTGTAGAGCTAACAACGTAAGTTTGGAGGATAATGCCAGGAAAGTGCTTTTGAATTGTTTAGTCGAAAAGCCTACCGTAAGTCCAAAGATTGATATGGTGATGAAACAGCCCTTAAGAGGTTCCGCCAGAGAGTGTCCAGACAGATGAAAATGACTTAGAGAGGATACTGTCTAGACACATCTTTTCTCCCTGCCATTTGCCACAGGACATTTTTCTGTTTGAGCTATGGACACGCTACTTAATATCATCAAGCCTCTTAGCCAGGTGGGACTGTTACCTGACATCTCTATTTAATGATTTGTAGAAACTGAAGCGAGTCTCAGTCCCTCTTGCATGCTGAGCTGTCCCCTGTCCAAACACCTACATTAGGCCTTTTTGGCTGACACCAAAGTCAGTGTTTTCACTACCATTAGGGGTCAGAATTCTTAACAGCAGACCTGTTAGAAAGTGACTTGATCTTAGGAAGAATCTATGGAAAAATCCCTGAGCTCCATGGTGAGGCATCTCTGTCAGTGCTTGGCTGTAACCATGAATCTGGTGGAATGCCTTGGGCAAATCTGGTTCAGCCAGAGGGAAAAGGAATTTTATGTCGCCTGTATCAGGTCTGGGAGTGGGAACAGTGAGAAGTGGTGGGAGAAGTTCACCTGGCTGGAGAGAAGGGTACTCAGAAACCATCAATTAGTGCTGCCCCTTAGGTCGCTGTTAGCAGCGGTTATTATTTGACATGATGAAATAATCAAGTCAGTCAACATGGGACAATAAAATGGCAATTTTGAGGGTGCATTCTTCATTCTAGGGGAGGTGACTGGAAGAGCTGCTCTGCTGACCTCTCCCAAACTTCTTCTGTGTTTGAGTGAAATGCAGAAGATAGGGGGCCTCTCTGGTGGCACAAGGGATTAAGCACCGCACTATGAAGCAATCCCCAGCCTCTGCAGCACGAGTTCGATCCCTGACCAGCCAGGGAGCAACCCATATGGTGCAGCAGACCTCTGTCTCACCCGCTGCTCCCCTCAGCAGTGTGTTTCAGTTAGTCTGCCTGTTCTGTTCCCCACTCTGTCTCTGGCGAATCCTCTCACCCACCAAGTCTCTGGCCTGTACCTGAGCTCTTGTATGCATAAATAAATAAATCTTAAAAAAAAAAAAGAAATACATAAGATAGAAATCAAAAAGCAGGCAAGCAAGTAGAGAATGGATAAGCAGGCAGGGAACACATAACCACCCGGGCCACCCGGGGCTGAGTGGTCAGGGGCAGAGTGTAGGGGTCTGAGTGTAGATGTTAATCTAAGCATATTATCTAGAGCCATATCTGAACATGCTGTTTTCAGGATGTATTTCCTTACACCATGACTTTTGCCCTAAGAGTTACCTTATCTTAGTTCCCTGTGCATCCTCTGGATAGACAAGGCCCCAAACAGACCCACATTCCCACACCTAGACTTCTAGCATTTCCATGTCTTAAAATTTTTGATTTTGCTCTTTGTCTTTTACTTCCCAATTTTAGTAATGTAGGATCTTCCTGTATCATAAGATATATCCTATATGATAATTATCAGTAGAACTATATTTAGAGATTACATCCCAGATATAACCACCTTTCCCCTCTTCCAGACCCATATGCTCTTCCAAAGCAATTTTCTCTCTTCCTGGCTATTGAAATCATCTAAAGAGGGTTGTCTGCTTTGTCTCTTGCTCTCAGATAGCCTGTTTTCCACCCTGGCTAGAGTCATTCTTTACAAATATGAATCAAATCTGGCCAGTCTCCCCCATCACCTCATTTCCTACATTCTCTCTGTCCCCATCCAGTCTTTTCTTTGTCATTTTGCACAGGACAAGCACACATCTGCCCCAAGGCATTTACCCTTGCAGTTCCCTCTGCTGGGAAAACTCTTCCCCTATATACTGGCTTACATTAAACAAGAGAATTGATTATTTTGGTATAATATCTGTTCAAACTTTACCTTATCAGAAAAGCTTTCCTGTTTCTCCCCATCTGAAACAGCAGCACCTGACATTTTCTGTCTTCTTGCAGTTTAAATCAGAGTGTAAGATTGTATTCTGTATCTGTTTGCTTGTTATATGCCTCCTTGAGTTGTTTAGTAACTCCACAAAGGCAGACATTATTGTTCTATCCCCAGCACCTGAAACTAATAGAGTTCTTTTGTTTAGTGTTATGAAATATAAAGGGGTTAGGACTCTCCTTTTAAATTCTCTTAGTATTCCAGTCTGCTTACTAAGGGATGGCTTTAAAAACAATTCACTTCACCTGAATTTTGACTCTAGATACACATGATGCATCATCATTATTTGACAAAACTGATTTGAGTGTTTTAAAAGGTAAGTGTTTTAAAAAGTAAGTAGTGTTTAGGTCATTTCAAAACACTCGTTTGTATTCACTCACTGTATTTCTTCATGTTTTCCTTTGATTTCTTTTTGCCTAGAGGGAGAAGATGAAGATGAAGAGGATGAGGAGGAGGAAGAGGAGGAAGAGGAGGATGAGGATGAGGAGGATGATGATAAAGATGGAGATGCTCTGGATGAGCGCCTCGATGGTGACCCTGAGCTGCCTGGGTTCACACTCCCTGGCCTCACATCACAGGAACCTGGCTTAGAGCAGGGAAATGAGGCTGTTGTGGAGGAAGCCACCTACCAGGCACCAGATGCCATTGAGTGGCAACAGCAGAATCAGGGGCTGGGTAAGTCCCACTTGCTCCCTTTTCCCTCCTCCCTCCCCCGCTTTTACTTTGTCTAAGGTGACAGCTTCTTTCACTGGTGTGGATTATGGAGCAAAATGGATATTCTGTTTGAGGGTGATTTATTGGGGGAAAAAGTCATCAGTTTTTGCCAATATGTTTATATTTATGCTGTTAAATCACCAGGCTCCTGTCTCAGCTGCCCATGGAGAGCTCTGTTACCTACTTTGGGATGAATTCCTTCTTTTCTTCCCAGCCAGAAGACACATGGAGTCTTTGGAATGACTTTCAAATGGGGAGGGGATGTACATAGCTAGCTGAACACATAGCACGAATGGACTGAAGTCAGAAAACAAATATATTTTGTTACCTTCTGTCCCTTTGGAATTTTTCTGCCCTGCTTCTGAGTGAGCTTTTGTCAGTCCTGTGACTTTTCTGTCCATTCTGAGAGCTGTCATCCTTTGTCAAGCACAGTCTCATTTCAGCTGTCGGGTCCAGACAACCCCATACTTGCTGGCTATAGCACCTGGCCCTCGTTTCTGGCAAGAGACTCCGTGGATGCAGGCTGACCCCATCTGGACACTCTCTTCCCTCTCAGGCCCCTTGTTACTTTCCTCTTGACTTTTCAAGAGAGATGCTATAACCTCTGGATGGTTCTTTGAAGCCTAACTCTCCTGACCTGAGGTGAAATGTCCTCTTCCCTAAAGAAACTCCCCCTTAGAAATTCTCTTAGTCTTTATAGTTTGGCCTGTTTGTACTTTCAGAGTTGCAGAGGTTGAGTGTAAGTGTTATATAATGAGTTTGGGATATTTCATTCAAAATATGTTTGTTGTTCTGGGACTTCACTCTGGAATATCATACTAATGTATCTTGATGTCTTGGTTGAAACTTCCAATTTAGAATCTTATTACATATGATTTCTTAAAGATCATTCTGTCCTCCTCCCTTGCAACTTTTTCTTTTCTCCCTCTCTTTTTTTTACATCAGTGGTGAGAAAGGGTAAGTGCATTGAACAAGCATGGAGTGGGAAAACTGCAATCTGTTTACCACATGATAGGGTAGTTTAAAACATTTTCTCTCATTTTTTTAAAGTGCAAACTGGAATTGGTAAAACCTTTAAAGGTTTGCAATCTAAGGAGAAATTCTTTTTATAATCTCTAGAACTAAAGAAACATGCTTGAGGATATTTAATGTCATCTGTTCTTCCTTTATTTAGAGTTTTTTGATGAACTGTTCTTTAGATTTAATTAATTTATCCAATAAACCTAACTAAACACCTGTTATGTTTCTCACACTTTGCAAAGTGTTCAGGACACATAGAAAAACAAGGTAGTTCCCTGTCTTGTTTATAGCAGAGTCCATTTCTTAAAGATTTCAGTGCAGGGTGGGTAGTTGTATAATAAATGTAGATTTATAAAGGCTGAACAGAAATGAGGATGGTGACCATTTATATTAGCCTGATGTGTTCAGATTTGCCATTTGTAGGATATATAGAGAGGAGAGACTTGAGGGGAAGGAGACCAAAGAAAAGCCCTAAACAAAGGCATGGTGGAGGGATGAAAGAGCATGACACACACAGACGGGCTGGCAAGGACATTGTAAGGGGACAAAAGAAGCTCTTTTGAAATGTGATTGAAGAGACTGGAGAGGCAGGCGAGGGATGCACCATGAAGAACTCTCAGTGCCAAGAGGTTTGAATTTGTCCTTTATGAAAACCACTGTGGTGCAGTGTAGTGGAGAAAGAGGGGGACGACTTGAGACTGGAGAGAGAAAAGGACCATTTAGAGGCCAATGCAGCGATCCCCGTGAGAAATGAAGTTCTGAGTGCAGGCAGAGGTAGTGGGGTAGAGAAAAAGTAGCTAGTTAGAGAGCTGAGAGTGACAGGTCCGTGGCTCTGATGGGGTTGGGAGTAAAAAAGAGAATGGATTTCTAGGTTTTCAGCTTGGGCAGATGGGTAGGTAGTGATGCCTCTGATGAAGACAGGGAATAAAGGAAGAGAAGTGAGTTTGGGGGAGATGGTGAACTGGTTGTGGGTGGGTTGAATATGAGGAGCCTGAACGATATCCAGAAGTGACTTAGATTTTCAGTCTTGAATTCAGAAGAGGGCTGTGATACAGTTCTGGGATCATTACCCTAAGGATTAGCATAGAGGTTGTAGTTGAAATGTAGCTGGGGTTGCCTGTGGAATATGCATCTGGTAAGGAGAATACAACAATGGCTAGACCTCCCCTGGGCAGGCAAAGTGTATCAGCATGGTGCATACAATATTACTGCATTATTCCTCAACAAATTCAGCATGTAACTGGGCAGTAATTACCTTACAAACATATCATACTTGTGAATATTTAGCCTCTATTCTACACAAACTGGTTTGAAATGAACAAAATAAAATATAAAATGCAAAGATAACTTCTTACTAAGCAGTAAGTGACTTAATACCAATAAGAACTTCTGGATCAACATTAATTGATACAGTTTCCTACATACTCAAAGAGCAGATGAAATACAGGAAAACCTCCCTCATACGTGATGAATTTTGTGGAAGGTAGATAAGTGGCTTCACAAAGATGTTTGTGTCCTAATCTCTGGGACTGGTGACTGGTAAAAACAACTTTGCTGATGTTGTCAAGGTAAGGACACTGAGATGGGGAGAGTAACCTACATTATCTGGGTGAGTCCCATGTAACCATAGATGTCTGTAAAAGAGGAGGTGAGTGGCAGGTCAGAGTCAGAGAATGAGATGTCCAGGTGGGCAGATACCAGAGTGATGTGACTGTGTGCCATGGAATGCTGGCTGCCTCTGGAAGCTGGAAAAGTGAGGAGATGGATGGTTGGTCCTCTGAAACCTCCAGAAGGAACACCACCCTGCTGGCACTTTGATTTTAGGCCCTCGAGACCCATTTCAGACTTCTGACCCATATAACTCTAAATGAATTTGCTAAGTTAGTGGTAATGTGGTACAGTAGAAACAGGAAACTAATACAGATGACAATAAGTGTTTCATGAGACATACCATTGTAGAAAGCAGTGTTGCATGGCAAGTGTAGTCAGAGTATGATGGTTGTAAAGGTAAGTAGAGATTATTTCTTCATCATTAAAAATGTAAACACTGAGATCCTTTAAAAAGCAGTCCTATTTAACATCATTTTAACTGGCTATCTTCAGTCCTCTTTTTAAGTGAGTTATTTTATTTATAGGTTATCACATCCTATTTTACAATATGAATAGTATTCTAAAGAAAATGCTAAAACCCATATAAACCTTTAAAAATGAACAGATTGAAGTGGGTAGCTGGGATTGGCTAAAAATAGTGCAAATTCTGAATAGATTATAGTCTCATTTCCTGCGAGGTAACAAGAGCAGAAAATTTAGATGACTTTCTAAGGCAAAGCTATAGATTCATGGCCTCAAATTCTCTAAAGTTCTGTTTTTTTTTTTTAAACACTGTCAACTGTACTGCCTCTAAAGCGTTGGGGAGAGAGAGAGAGCTCTGTTTCTTGCGTTGGCTGTAGGGAGTTGTGACTGGAATGAACTGTTTTGTTGGGGTGGAAAGGATCAGGTGTGAAAGTTCTATGTTATGTTGAAGTGGCTTGATCAGTAAAATGCTAGTAATATCCACAAAACTCTTTATTCACATATGTAGAATCAGTTTCTTCTCTGATTTAACAAATTCATTTTCAAATTCATTGACAGAAATCTGTACAAAGAGTAGAATCTATGATCTATTCCATTTCTTGTCTTCTTGTTATAATAAATCACACAATTACCCTTTTCAGAATATAGTCACTGACCAAAGTGGAGTAAAGAGACCCACTTTAATGGTGAAACATTTCCAGTGTAGGTAGTACCTGGTGATTCTTTCCTTTTTTGCTTTCTGTTTCTGTTAGGATGCCTTTAGCTATAGGTAGCAGAAACCTTAAATTAGTTTAAAAAGTAAAGAAATGTATTTTATTTCAAAATAAGAAGTCCAGAGATAAAGCTTCTGACTCGGTAGCTCAGTTGGCTCAGCAGCTCATCTATCATCAGTGACCCCAGTGTTTCCCCATTTTCCTGCACTGTCATCCTGGGTGAGTTGACATTGCCCCCAGGCCAGCATCCTCATAGTTGCAATGGCTGAAGCAGTTTCCAGTGTAATCCCTGGACAAGGCATTGCTCAGAGAAAGAAGACTGCTCTTTCTCTGTGTTTCTTTCCTGGGAGAGGAGAAGCCTCCTAGGAATTCCCTGGTATAATTCTTTTTTCTTCTAAATGACCAGGGGGGTAAGTCGCATACCTACTTCAAAACCATCATTGGCCAGGGAATGTGATCACATGACTGGTGGAATGGACTGAGTGATTGTCAGTCACCACGTCTATTACCCATGGTTTCTGTTTCTGTATTTTCTTCCCTTGTAGTGGATACATCCGTGTCACTTCTGCCCTTCAGGAATCCTATGACTAATCTTGTTAAATCAATATCTTTACTTTGGAAAAGCTATGGAAAGCCACTAATCAGTTAAGTGCAGAAATATAGTTATCTTTATTTTTTTTTTAAATCTGCATTTAACATTGGAATGAGCACTTGGTTTAGGAAATGGAATAGTTTTCTCTGGAGGTCTTTAAAAAATATGACAAATGGTTAATGAAAGGCTAGGGATGTTTGTGGAAAGCAGAAGAATGAAAAGCAGTCACATGTCGAATTTTCCATGACACACTCTTTGAGCATCTACGCATTATGTGCTGTATGTTGTGGAAATCGTGAGAAGCTGCCATATAAGGAGATACATCACCTTGAGGCAGAGAGTGGTCCCACAGAGGTAAGGCCAGTGGCTGGGCAACTCAGCAGCAGGGGACAAAGCCACTGCTATGACCAGGGTTGACTTGAACTGAGTGGCCATCTGGGACTTCTGGGGTGCTTTGCCTGATCCCTTAATTTATATCACCCTTCCTTCCTTAACATGTGATGCCTACTTTTTAGGATTAGAGCCTTCCTTTAGATAGAGACAATGTACACTTAGAAGACTTT